ACAAAACTTTCATTTGGTTGGCCTCAGCTATGGACAAAATCTGTTCATGGGGCCCTGCGCAATAGACTAGATGCATTCAGACAGTCCATTGGACTCTGAAGGACTGAATTACTGATGGTTTTCACTGTGCCGCTGCATGGATGAGCCTGAATTTGTTCCGGAATCCGTTTAAACGAATGCCTAGTTCTGTGCCCAATGTACTGCACATCACATATACAAGTAGACAGATACAGAACTAAAAAAAGCTGGACTCAAATGGGAGGATGCATTTAGGTTCAGAAAAGCTAGAGGACGGGTTTCCAGCAGTCCGAAATGTGTTGTTGATAGCGGGTCAATGCTTCAAAGATAGCAACTCTCCAAAGTTGCTATCTCGCCTTCGAAACGTGTTTCTCTTCAGTGCCATATCTTCGCGAATAAGACTGTTTCCAAAGAAGAGGATAACACCTCTTTACTCGAGACCCCAAACTTTTCTCCAGGTTTTAAGGAATTCATTCTGGTAAATACGGCAGTGCTCTAGATCCCTTTCGCTTTGCGATGGAGTCACACTGGCCAATCCACATGATCTTCCTGTGCAGACCTCGATGCGGTGTTCCTCAGTCAATACGTTGTCACATCAGGCCAATGATAATCGGCCTGGACTAGTCCGTCCCGTTGGCAAGCACATCACAAACTGTAACAAACGTATCATCCATGCAAGGAAGTTACGCATGACCAAGAAAATGTCGGCGAAAACTGTTGTCGTGCCCTGTATTTTGCGACAGATTGGATAAGTATCAAGTGTAGACGTTTTCTCTGATGTTTGCCATACTGTAAGCGATCTCGGAAACTAAATTCAGCGATGGCCTGGTTACCGAAATTCTGCTACAAACCACGCTGATGAAGCGGAATCGAAATAGGAAACGGGCATCAGTGGACACTTTCTGCCCGGTTATTGGACGGATAAGCGCAGTTGGAGATTTTCCCAATCCCCACTTAACATAGCGTTGTTGTTCTCCAGGGTAACCGGCTTAGGGCCAGGAAAGTAGTTGAGTGTACAAAAGTGCGATCGCTTCGGTTTCACATGGATTTCGGACAAAAAGTCGGGCGGAACAGCTGTAAATCAAAAGGGTACAATGAACCGAATAGGGTCTGAGTTGAAGTAGAAAATAGATTCTGCCCGAGCGTTGCAAGTCTAAGTGGTATTAGCTAGCAGAGGATCAGCGGGGGTGTTGGACATTCAACACAATTCTCAGGGAGGGGTTATGACAAGTATTACTGCGTTTGGTAACCACAAAGTACATCCACTGATACTGCTCCCGGAAAAATGTTTTCGGAGACGCTCAGTCACGTAGTAGTCTTGATCATTCCATGAGGGATGACATGTGGAGCACACATGGGATTCCGAATTCGACTGGGAAATGCGAGTCTTTGAAATTAGTACAAGTGGACTCAGTGGAAGAGTACTTTCTAAGGTTAATTGAGAACGCCAGTCCCGGGTTCATTACCGTGAATAACCTGAGAGAAATATTACTTAACAAGTCGTCATATAGCCATTCCTAAATGATGGAGAAGCCTGATAAATCCCGACATTGCAGGGCACTGAGTGACAGCGAATGCTCCTGAGACCACCTTGTGAGCACAGTAAGCCTGATCGGTCCACATAAGCTCCCGGCGTACTGCATTTACAGCCAACCATTGCATTAGCAACACATTCGCAATGGATGGAAAAAAAGTGGGAAAAGGTATGCTACCTATGCACAGGGAGGTGGTCCTTTTGAAAACACGTGTATGTGTCTGGAGTAATGTGGTATGCACAGGGGTCCGATTTTTTGAAATCAAGAAGCCGGACTATACCCAAATTCAGGAGGAAGCTGCGACAACAGTTCTCTGCTGATGCTGCTAAGCGTACTGGTGCAGTTCACGACAAGAGACCGAACCACTTGTTCTTACAATTAGGCGAATAAACGACTAAATGTGTTGAGTAATCCACAGCGTCGAACGCGATCCTTGATAGACAAACTGCAGGGTGACTAAAGACAGAGTGACCATCCTTTCATTTTAAATTGGAGAGAAGTTAGTCCTAATGGATACGATGGCGCGCAATGCTTCACAGTCCTTCGGAAGCAAATTTATTCCGAATAAAACACTACCAAAAACGTATTTTCCTACATATACGGTGGGACATCAAATGATTTATATCGTACAAGGCCTTCGCAGTTACACATGTGTGACTTCGATTCCGACACCCCGGTGACCTTGAGCCGCGGTGGTCCGACACAGGAATATTGATTTGTCACACGGCATAGCAGACACACCTAAGTGGATGTGGGCTCTGATGTCGGTTCGCGAATGGATATAAATCAAATGCTGTGAATATTAAAAAAACTAGGAATCAATCGGCCCACTGAATCATAACCATGAGCACTGTGCGGCAGCGAAACAATGCACACGTTTCGCGTGTGGCTAAAAGAGACTACGGAATGCTAGCGAGAACGGCTATAAGCCATCCATCTAGGAGGCCAAGGTTGTTTCGATTCGATACCAGTTCATGCATACCATGTTCTGGATGTCATTCGAAATGGATCAGCCGGTTAACAGTGACTGATCCAGTGGATACTTGCGGATTGTAGGCAAACCACAGGTGGTATGCACGCAGTCAAAAGTGCTACTACGTGCAACCTACAGGTACCGATGTAAATCCGAGAGGATAAGATTGGTGGACAAAAACGCTAAGGCTCTTTTAAAACCGTTGGATGGCCTAAGCATGACGATATACTACTAGTAACAGTAATAATAATAATGAGACCCAGCACTAGTTCATTTACACGACAACACTGGCCTCAGATGTAAATCCCTCCAGGTTTCGGCGGGATACCACACTTCCTCTAGTTGATTTCGCATAACGATACTCTCCATTGCCGCACCACTTAGGTGTGAATGGTTTCCAGCATGACTATCCGCTTCATGTGTGTATTGTGTGTAGATCATTTTTAGTTGGCCATTGAAGCTTGTGCCTAATTTCACAACCCTGGAAAGAATACCACTCAGCTCCGACACGGTAGGTTCCGGTCAAAATCGTTTTCAGAAGGGACTAGAAAGTCAAGCATTCCAAGTGTTTAGGTCTTCAAGAAGGGTGCTCACTGCCAGTTCAACAGACGTTTATTGGGTAACTGAAACCACAAACTTGTGTAATTGTCTCGGTTAATTTTTCTTCTTACGCATTCTTGTGTGATATGTACGGATGAAAGAGTGACGCGCTGGATACAGTCGGTAGCCTATCCCTCCAACTTCATCCACATTTATCCGGTATATTGTGGCCTGTGAAGTTTGTCGAACTAAAACCCTCCCACGCATCAGGTTCCTATGATCCGGTGTGCAAAAATAGAACACGATGATTCACTGCCAGGTAGCAATTAGTGAGGTTGATCGATTAGCCAGTTTTGAGTTTATCTGACCTGGAGACGAAACCTCGTTAGTGAGTGGACGGACTACGACTGTTTACGTTTGTTAGCGAGTTGGAAACTGCAGATCTCGCACACGAATAAATCGCAGTACATAAACAACACACATAGTACTACATTAGCTGCACAGTAACTCGGCTGTCCTCATTTCCCTCCCCTTCTCCCTTGTACAATCGGAGTACGCCGCTTTTGGTTGCCGAAATCTTTGAACATCTGCGCACATAAACCAAGCTTCGGACAACAGTATGGATAACAATAAAGCCATGTATAATTGACGAATAAACTGATACTAAGCCGGCGCCACAGAAAGTAGAATGTTTGCATAAGCTGACTCTCCGCTGCAAGTTGCGACTTTGTGTCGGAACAGCAAGTAGTTGATCATTTCGGAGGGCACGCAGTAAAGGTGTGACTGCGGCCGTGTTAAGTTGGAAAATTTGGATGAATCAACAAGCACCAAGAACAATATGATAAAGTGCGTCTAAACCACGACAGTTTACGAGTCAGCCATAGGGATAAAAAATGGCATGGCCAAAAACTATCCACAGTGGGAGGTCCGAATGGACGTGGCAGGAACGAGAAGACATGCCTAAGAGCGGACTTCGGGCTCTTGCTTACGCACTTCACAGCTGGTTCGCCACACCTAGTCGATTAACAGTTGGTATCCGTCAGTGCCATTAGTGCGCTCCTTGCATGACGACCGAAATGGGGCAGACGTCGAGAGCATGCAGCTAACCAAAAAGGGCTTCAGTGTAAATTATTCAGGACATGGTTTATAGGCCGATAACTGGACTGAGAGGAATTCGATAACTCTTGAAAGGTCCCAGTACATGTAGCAAGAACGAAAAGACAGATGGGTGTCTGGTGTGGCGAGTCAACTGTGAAGCTTAGGTGCACAGGCGTGACCGAGAACAAGCGCCTTCGGTAGCTTAGTGGGTAGGGCACCCGTCGGATGAGTAGGAGGCCAGTAGTTCGAGTCCGTCCTTGGATGCCTTTTCGTTCATGCTGTCAAATCCCCTTCTCCACTTCCTAACAAGATACAGCTCCTGTTGAGCACACTCAAAGGCTACCAGAAACAACAAATGCTACGAAGAAGGTTACAAGAATCTTGAAGAGGATTCCAGGCACCTAGACCTCCCATAGTCTAGGGTTGGTTGAAGAACAGTTGATCGAAGCCTACAGTGTAGGTGCTAGTCGGATGAAACTATCTGCACTCAGCAGCAGGGGAAAAACATCTTTCTTAAACGGACGAAGAAAGTATCTCTCGTCATGAAATTGTGAACACCAACCGGCGGAAGCGAAATGATGTCGACCGAAACCCAGAATCATATAACTTACACAAGCAGAACATGAGTGTGTAGATCAGACCACCAGCCAACATGAAGAGAGCCGAACCAGACTGGTATACTTCCTGGAAGGCATCCATGATTAGGCCGTAGGACTTGCCCAGACCGCCGAGGAGAAAGTTGGCGACGAAGCCTCCTGAGTGGGAGAAAATTGGAAAGTGCATTTTAAAACTGAAGGCAAAGTGCAGAAGCAGACACTGATGAGGCATTGAAATCATTATGGGATGGACAGCTCCAGAATGGTTTGCGCAGTGGAAACAGCAGGTAAATCTCCTGTTTCTGACAACAATATCGAGAAATTACCTACAAACCAGCTTTGCCACTGACACGAGAACCGAATAAAACAAGGCATGAAAAGATTACTTGGAACAATTGGAAACCTTCTTCAGTGGAAAAAGCGACATGCCCGAATGCCTGCTCTGCAAGTTCTTCGGGATCAGCACGTGCTTGAAATAAAATGAGTCTTACGGCTAATGTTCTCAGCTTACTTCCAATTCGCATGACGAGTCCAATGTCGATTCTACGACTGGCTGAGCCCCGGTAAACCATTATTCTACAGATTAATGATGGTAGGTAGGTATACACGGTAACCTTGTGTCTGGTGTGGCGAGTCAACTGTGAAGCTTAGGTGCACAGGCGTGACCGAGAACAAGCGCCTTCGGTAGCTTAGTGGGTAGGGCACCCGTCGGATGAGTAGGAGGCCAGTAGTTCGAGTCCGTCCTTGGATGCCTTTTCGTTCATGCTGTCAAATCCCCTTCTCCACTTCCTAACAAGATACAGCTCCTGTTGAGCACACTCAAAGGCTACCAGAAACAACAAATGCTACGAAGAAGGTTACAAGAATCTTGAAGAGGATTCCAGGCACCTAGACCTCCCATAGTCTAGGGTTGGTTGAAGAACAGTTGATCGAAGCCTACAGTGTAGGTGCTAGTCGGATGAAACTATCTGCACTCAGCAGCAGGGGAAAAACATCTTTCTTAAACGGACGAAGAAAGTATCTCTCGTCATGAAATTGTGAACACCAACCGGCGGAAGCGAAATGATGTCGACCGAAACCCAGAATCATATAACTTACACAAGCAGAACATGAGTGTGTAGATCAGACCACCAGCCAACATGAAGAGAGCCGAACCAGACTGGTATACTTCCTGGAAGGCATCCATGATTAGGCCGTAGGACTTGCCCAGACCGCCGAGGAGAAAGTTGGCGACGAAGCCTCCTGAGTGGGAGAAAATTGGAAAGTGCATTTTAAAACTGAAGGCAAAGTGCAGAAGCAGACACTGATGAGGCATTGAAATCATTATGGGATGGACAGCTCCAGAATGGTTTGCGCAGTGGAAACAGCAGGTAAATCTCCTGTTTCTGACAACAATATCGAGAAATTACCTACAAACCAGCTTTGCCACTGACACGAGAACCGAATAAAACAAGGCATGAAAAGATTACTTGGAACAATTGGAAACCTTCTTCAGTGGAAAAAGCGACATGCCCGAATGCCTGCTCTGCAAGTTCTTCGGGATCAGCACGTGCTTGAAATAAAATGAGTCTTACGGCTAATGTTCTCAGCTTACTTCCAATTCGCATGACGAGTCCAATGTCGATTCTACGACTGGCTGAGCCCCGGTAAACCATTATTCTACAGATTAATGATGGTAGGTAGGTATACACGGTAACCTTTTTCGATCACCAACCCCCCCCCCCTGGGAATCGGACAGAACTGAGTACCTCATAAAAAAGTCCGTTTTCCACTGGCTTACGTATTTCATCCCTCCTCACATCGACATTTCCCTCTCATAAAAAACAACTCCTCTCTCATGCATTTGGTAAGGTTCTCTTCGAAGAAATATTTTTCTTTCAGGCCACCACTGGTCAACCACAATTTGTAGGAAAATACTTTGGTAAGGAGACAAGTCCATCTGAACATCTGACTGATTAACCGCCCCAATGATTTATGCGCCATAAAGCTATCCAGGGATTCGACTAAGCCCCAACACATGACGTATCTTGGCTACGTCAATGTCGTTCTGAGCAGTAACCAAATGAAACGGAAGGTGATTCTTCTTTGTTTGTTTGAAGCCGATGATTTTCTTAGACTATGGAAGTGTTGCTGATTGGGTAATCGAAGCTCGAGTTTGTTTTCATGAAAAAGCTCCGTTGATTGGCTGAAGAATGGTTTCTCAAATTAGTATCATTGTTGGTCGACAGTGTTCTCAGCTTGTGGGACGTTGGTCCCACCTGAGGACCAATACAATAACGTGTAGAATGAAGTACCAGAAACCAATCAGTATAAGCACAGTCTGCTGACATGTTAGCGAATCTCTGCGACGGTAATGCGTGGTAATTAAAAGGTGGTCACATGTAACTTGATCACTGGGGTACTCTACAACAGACGCAATCAACTAAAATGTTGTACTAAATTCGGTTTGTGCATGCCAAAGTTTTAGCCGGAATACCCAAAGAGGGCCGACCATCACTTAACAGCTGAAAAAACGGAAACCCCTTTGGATCACATCAACAAACCGTGGAAACCAGAGGTCAAGGGTAGAACTCACCCGAACACCAACCAATGGACGAGAGTAGGGAGGGCCGAGCCCAAAGGTCACACGGCCACCGAACAATGAAGACACGGGATAACATAGCAATAAGCAGAACCATCCGACCGAACCAAAACTATTTTGACAGACAGTCATCCCCAGGCTAGCTGCACATATATTATCACACACGCACCATTACTCAACGCACAACCACTGTTGCACCTCTACGATACCTCCTCAACGCACTGATACACCCCAACTAATGATGAAACTTTACAGCTAGATTATCCCGCTTAACAAACAATACAAACCATCAGTCATTCAGCCGGTCTTCACAGAATTGTACAGAAAGAACCGGAAACCTTCCGAAGTTGCTCCTTACTGGTACGTTAGCTTTCAAGACGCAGCATGAGCGGAATGACATAACCATTCAAATGTTGAGTGAAGAACCAGGATTCTTAATTCTTTTTCACTGGCAGGACGGTAGACATGCAAGCTTGAATTTTTGCTGATTGGATGATGTGGACAAGGCGGTAGGTTCGCATGGCAATAAACTCCGATGTGTGCCTGCTTACCCGTCCAGCAGTCTACATTTACCCGACTGGCAGAGCGAGTCACTGAGGTCCGAAGCAAGCTTACTCGGTAAAGCAGAAGCATATGGCCGGTCACTGTATTTATCGGACGTTTTTGCGCTCGGCATTGTTTAGAGTAGATAACAGTGGCTTCTCTTCACAAGGCTTGTCTCTCCTAAGAGTGAACTCCATAATTGGGTTGGCGGAGAAAGTTGTTTTAGATCCACCAGAACGGCAATCTTTTCTTAGAAGGTTTTAATTGACGGTGGCTCAATTTTATATGACCTAAACACCAGCGACGAAGCTACAAAAATGACCTACGCTCAATCTCGGGGTGCAAACAAAGCTCGTTTTAAGTGTCTCGTTGGAATGTCACCTAGATAGAGTTACCAAAATATTCATGAGGAAATTTGTGACTGAAATCAAAGCCGAAATCAAGATTTTGGTGGGAAAGGCGAAAACCGAAATGGGACTGTCACCAACACCTACCGATAACTGTACACCAGGCCTGAGGACTATCCACGTAGACCGTCTTCATAACTGGATGCGAAAGGGTTCAGATATTTGTAAACAGCAAAAGGCCAGTTACTCCATAAAAACCACCAGACGCGAGCACTGAAAATAGCGAAGAAGCACAGCGTAACGGACTAGAAACTACTGGAAACAAAGAGAATGAAACAGAGGCATATGTGGTAAGTGAGTGGAGTCACTACCCAAGGAAGCATTACAACGTTCCCGCACGAAGTTCGTCCTAGCGCTGAAGCTCCCCACTTGCAGTTCGCCTACCGTCTCTGGTTAGTCGTTTCATGGACGACGTTTGTTAGCACACTCATTCTTCTGGGACAACGGTCTAACTGAGTGCCTTTGATTGCTGTACTCCAATTACCAGATCATATGACAAATGTTGGTCCTCCAACCGCACAACAGGTATTGTTGCTACACATATCGGTCACGCTGGCTTCTGACTCAACTTCCGAGTCAAATGACTGTATTTGAAGTTAGGATTCCACCGGCGAACTCCGTAACCTTAGTGTCCACAATAAACATTTACTTCATTCCTCAGTAGATGCTTCTTCAATGATCGTTCCCAACACGTTCATATTTTTCACTTTGTTTCTGAAAAGGCCAGCAAACAGCAGTCCCACGACGGCGTCTTCAACAAGAGTTTCGACATGAATATTGCAGGGTTATGTAGTGTAGAGTAGTGAACCAAATACAAAGGAATACATCCAAAGTCAGCCCTATTTATACTTCTATTTGATCGGAAGCTCCGGATCAATCACCTTATCATAGTCAACAGTCTTTCAACCAGTGTGTGCATTCTTGGTCTACCTATACTCGGATAGATCACGTAAAGGCATTAGCCTGGTGAGCTTATATAACATTTATTTTTTTATACCTAATAACAAAGTTAAGTCCGCTTAACGCTTTAGAACCATTCGAATGTCACGGTGGCGCTCTACAAGCCTGACTCATCAGATAAAGCCTTACTTATAACCCTCGCTGTCTGACGCCAACGTTCCATTACACATCGATGAGACGTGCCACCTTGTATCTTTTGCCATTACTAACTGTCTTCATCGTCTGCCAGGGTTACTTACGCCGTGTCACCAACACCACCGAAGTCTGTCACTCCATTTTTACGCCTATCTCGGGTTATTGGATCGAACTCCAATGCTATTCGTTCTTTTGCAAGACGGCTGAACTATGGGGCCACTTATACTTTCTATTCTAATCTCCAACCACTGTACGCTCAAATCACGAGCCTACGAACAATCAACACTTGAGTGTTTTTTACTTGGTGCGGTTTTCGTGTTTTGAATTGCCTTCATACTCCTGTCGCAGAGGACAGTACGACTCGTAGACAGACCGCCTCGTAGCACGATTACTCGTAGTACGGGATCTCGCTGCTTTTGGACCGGCTACTCCTCTTTGGCCCTCCTGGCATGGTTAAACCTTGTGAAACGAAGTTCCAGCCAGTGTAGCCTGAGGGATCATTGGAGCATTCAAGCCCGACGACCGCGTCTAGGTGGCAGCTTTAGATCGGAGCTGAAAACTCCCAATAAGGATGATACAGCTGTACGGTGCTTCCCTGCTTTCCAGCATAGATTGGCTTCGCTTATCATCATCATCATTGTCAGCTGTAAGAACCGCGTACTGGTCGTACACTGGTTGTAGCTGCCACAGTTTCGTTCACCGATGATTGGGGGGGTAGGTAGCAGCGCATTGCACGCGCGAGCTAGTAAATTGGTGCATAAATCCAGCACTGTCAGTGGGCTGTCAAGTGCGGGGGGTTGGAAAAGGAGCTATGCATTGAAGGCAATAGCTTTGATGCACGAGCGCCATTGAGGGCGCGACTGGGCCATGTCTGATAATGCCTCTAGCCATTGATGTGGCCCGTCTCGGGGTCCCCATCCAGGAAGACGGCAGCGACCAGCGCAGCTGAGTTTGCTGGTAATGGCTTTCACATTTCGCCGCCAAGTCATTGTTTGGCCGCCTCTGGGCGAAAAGAGCCCTTCGAGGAAGTCGGTCGAATGGCATACGCAGCAAGTGGCCAAGCCAGCGCAACCTGCGCAATATGATCAGTTCATCTATCGAGGGTGAGTTATTTCTCCCGAATACCATTCGACGTACTTCAGAATTGCTGATCCGGTGTTCCCACCAGATTCGGGCAATGCTCCGAAGACATCGATGGTCAAACACTGAAAGTCTTTTGACGTCCTCGGCGCGCAGCGGCCAGGTTTCTGACCCATATAGTAATATGGAGCGCACCGCAGCATTGTAAACCCGACCCTTGACAGAGAAACTGATGTCACGCCTACGCCACAGGTGACGT